TATGTGATGTTATCCACTCGTATAAACAATCCATGTAATATTTCGCCGGAGCGCAATGACCTTTGACGGCTCCACTCAATGCCAAATGATGAAAGACAGAACGATTATCTTTATCTGTCAACGATATATTATCATGGAGAAGTTCTATTATAGAAGGAAAGGTTTGTGACTCGTAATTTGCCGTTGTTAAAATCGAGCGAATTAAAACAGATTCGCCATCATAATTAGGTTTTGTTGAGTTTGCACCCTTTGACAGTAATAATTCTACAACTTTTAAACGACCTAAAGCAGCCGCCCAATGAAGAGAGGTGTGCCCACCTTCGTCTAGAACTATATCATAGTCTGTCGGTAATGGTGAACAAACTTGTGCGATGAGTTCAGGGATCGAATTTGAATCTTCGTTGCAGTAAATAGCTAACAATATACTTCGAAGACGTTCTTCATCTTCGATTTCACTTATAGTTTGTATTGGCTCAGAAACTTCCGAACGTGCAGTAGCTTCTTCATGACCATTATTATTATTATTGTTGTTGTTGTTGTTATTGTTGTCGTCTTTGTTGTTGTGGTTATTATTGTTGTTGTCGTCGCTGTTGTGGTTGTTATTATTATTAATGTTGTTGTTGTTGTTGCTGTTGTTATTGTTGTTATTGTTGTTGTCGTTATTGTTATCGTTATTGTTATCGTTATTGTTGCTACTGCTGCTGCTACTGCTGCTGTTATTATTATTGTTATTGTTTTTGTTTTTGTTTTTGTTATTGTTGTTGTTAATGTTGTTGTTATTTTTTTTGCTATTATTATTGTTGTTATTATTTACAGTTCCATTCGCTACAACATTTGCAACATTTGCATTTGCGGTATTATTACTAGTATTTTGATTACTTTGATTACTTTGATTACTTTGATTATTTTGATTGCTTTGATTACTTTGATTGCTTTGATTATTTTGATTATTTTGATTATTTAGCGCGTTTCTTCGACGTAGAGCAGCCATCGCTTGTTCTTTTGTGGGCGTATAAGGAGAGGACGAATACGGTACATCGTGTTTAGGTGGTTGATAATCCAATAAAGGACGTAAAATTTCAAGAACACCATATTGTTCAGCAAGTTCCTTGCCTCTTTCAAAAGGAACCCTAATAATCGATTAAATTCATAATGGAAAAATATTATAAGTAAAATTTTGTAATTAAAGTATTATTAAAGAAAGATATTATGAAAATATTAAAAGATAAAAGAAATATTTCTACTTTAAAACCATTGTTTTGATTTCTGAAATTTCCGGTGATATCAAAAGGAGATATATATTTCACATGTATAATTGAATAAAAACATACCAAGTACCCTGATATTTTCCATAACCACCCTGAACTTTTTCGTGTTCGCCGGTTAAGACTTCTTTTTCAATGATTTTGGTACGTTTTCCTTTTTCGAGGCCAGCGACTTTTAGGATTTGGGTGGCATTCAAGTATGAATCCGGTCGCCTTCTCATTACGGCGACATCCCTTATAAGAAACTCATATACCGGAACACCCGAGTAAACAGCCGAGTAAATAGGGCCGGCATTTGGTCTTGGAATTGGAGAGCTAACCTCTGAAGTACTCGGAATTGGTGTAGAAGGGGTAGCAAATAAAGATGGGATAGTTGCTGGTGATTTAGAAGGTGTACTCGCGTTATTTAAATTTTCATTTGAGGCGTCCGAAGACGACGTTTGAGCAGGTAATATGTTTGGTGATTTATTATTATCCATTCCGAATGTAAATTATTTCTGACACGTTTTATTAAAAAGTTTAAGACAGTTGTAAGGGGGGAGGGAGAAAATGTAGTTGGTCACCGAACAAAAACGTGAATTAAAAAAAAAAAAAAAAAAAAAAAAAAAAAATCGAGTGTGCGTGGGGTATGAATTAACTAGCACGTAGGTGAGAAAATTTCAAGTGACACGAATCGTCACGAGCCATGCACGACTTACGGAATGATAAATTAACAAATAAAAAATCGTTTATAAAATTTTATTAACTTTTTAGCACTAACATATAAAAATTTCGGTGTAAAGTTTAATATTAAGCATGATATCGCATGAAAATATTTCATGCGTTGTTTAATCGGTGATTTTTGTTTCGTGTCAAATAGCGAAATCTAGGTAAGGGGAAAGTCCGACGGTAGTCGCACAAACGGTATCATAATAAAACCTAGAATAGGATAAATTTTCCTCGAAAAAATATGCTCTCTCCAAATTTAGATCCAATTTCCTAAATACGTCAGTTGTAACGCGCAGATTGAAAAATAAAAACGACTTGAATAGTAATCAATAGTAATCCTTATCTGCTAGTTTATCATGCCATACGCATAATAAAGTTTAGAGACTTTGATTTTTATTTATTATTTCCAAAAAATAAAAAAAGTATTTACATGAAGAATGACTTTATTACTTCTTTTCATTATCAAGTCTTATCAATAAATATTCAATTTCAACCTGCTTGGTCAAAGGAATAACCCATTTCTCATACAATTCAACAACTACATCTACTTTGATTTTTAAATGTTCTGAAGTTTGTAAATTATCTAAATTAATTTTACCATGTTCTGTAATATCTTGACCGTATATTAAAGCTTTACGCCTAAGTCTTCTCAATAAAGCATCCTCAACTTTTTTGTTAGTTAACAAGGTTTCAAGTGCTTTAACATCTCGATTTTTAATGAATTCGATGTATTTATCTTCTGTTTCCGGATCACGAAATTTTGCCTCAGCAACGAACTTTCCTTCAAAATTCATGAAATTAATAATAATTTTTTTAATTTTAATTAATTAATGAAAAATGATTTAACGGCATACCATAATGAATTCTTTGAGATAAAGCTTGAAGGCACTCGACATCTCTGGTTGCCGCCGAACCATAATTTTGATCATCTCCTGGAGAACATAAAGAAGGAACGATGTTCTCGAGATAAAATTTCATTATTTTATTATTAAGATTGATATTATTAGGTTTAAGAATTTGGGGATACTTAAGGGGGGGGATAATCGGTTTCGGTAGGGATTCTGTGAACGGGTATTCATCGGGACTTTTTAAAAAAGGATGGGTAAAATAAAAATAAAAAATAAATATATTTTTGTTCCCTTTTTAAATTTCTTGAAGATGAATTTTTTAAAAAGATCCATCCATACCTCTGATACCTTCTTACTTTTGCTACAAGTTTAAGAAAGTAAATTTAAAAAATTTTAAAGTTTCAAGGAAATTTCTTTAAAAATTTAAATTAAATAATTATGATGGGTAATTTAATTACCATGAACTTTCTCAACCTCACTCAAGAAATATTCAAGAAAACTTCCATCAAATCCATTGCTTTGCTCATATTTATACATCCCAGGCACATAAATGTTTTTATTAATAGAATATTGTGCTCTTTCAATCAAAGCTAAAATGCAATGAAGAAAAAATTCAGCTCTATTAGGTTCTCATTGAACACCCGTAAAATATTAATTTTTTTTTTTTTTTGTTGACAACTAACCAAAGATTATAGTATCTTCGAGACGAATGAGTGTATCACGAAGCTTAGGAAGAGATATGCAATCTTCGGGGTCACCAGATATAAAATTCATTTTTTATTTTTTTCCACGCTACCCTTCGGAAAAAAAAGGTTTGGATATTTTATGATAAGAAAATTATATACTATTAACAAAACCCAATATAGCTTAATTAAAAAATGAAAGCCGATATCGTCACGTGGAATAAAAGTTCAATCTCATGAAAATTGATTTCAAAAATTTTTATTATTATGAACTTGCTTACAAAAGTTCCATTTCATATTTCGCGGTCAAGAGTCGTAAACAATGTTCTTGTATCTAACGCATGCAACTTCAAGAAATCTTTAACATGTACTAGCGTTTATCAGTTTCGCCCACTTTCAACGAATCCTATGGAACCTAATGCTGCCGATATCAACAATAAAAAAAATAAAAAAGTCAGGTCGCTTCGCGTACAAGGACTTGACACATCCAACTTTCCTGACCTATCAAAGCTTGATCCGATTTTAGATGTACCAGGACCGATAGTTGATCCTCCATTTCCAGTAACTCGTCCTTCCGTGGTAATCACGGCACCGGAAACCGAAAGTGATGATATTGATGCCTTATCAATTGTCACCAGGCTCTCTCCTTCGGAAATTCGTGATTTACAGAAACGAACTCTCATCATAAAGCGCGTTTCAAGTCAAACCGAAAAGGGCAGAATTCCTAGCATGTATGCGTTGGTGGTAGTAGGTAATGGCAAAGGGGTTGCTGGTTTTGGTGAGGGGAAACATGACGAGGTTCAAACTGCCATCAAAAAGGCTACTAATATAGCCATAAAAAGTCTAAGGTATTTTGAAAGGTATGACGATAGAACCTTATATCATGATATAGAACATAAATTTCATGGAACCACGATAAAGTTATGGGCTAGACCTCCAGGTAAGTCATGATTAAATTAATTTAAATTAAACGTTATTTTATTTCTTTATTCATTTATCAAATTATTTTTAGGTTTTGGTATAAGATGTAATCATTATATACATGAAGTTGCTAAATGCGTTGGCATTCAAGATATTTCTGCAAAGGTTCATGGTTCGTGCAATGGAATGAATGTTATAAAATGCACCTTTGAAGCTTTAAATAGTCAAAACTTGCCTTCTGAAATTGCAAAATCTAGAGGAAAGAATCTGATGGACGTATATCATACTTACTATGGGACGAAATAAAAACAATTATTTAGAACAAATGTCTCATTGGTTCTTTAATATAATTATATTTTTATTATTCAAATGTGTGTGTTTTTTTTGAAATATAAATATATAATATAAATATCATATAATAAAAAACGTGTCATTTTATTCGGTTTCCAGAATTGGTAGAGAACATTCCAGAAATGTTAAAACACACATGATATTTATGATTTTCCCGATTTTATGTGATGATGAATAATTGAGGAGACTCTTTTTTTCTTTTTTTTTAGTTTTCCTAAAAGATCATGTCATATCAAAACCCAGCGACCTTCTCACCATACACTCCACCTCCTGATGAACAAAAATCGAATCGCAATTCCGTTCGATATGCACCGATTCCCAGTAGTAGTACAACTGCGTCAACCTCCGCTTCTGCTTCTGCAAATCCCTTTGCCGGAGTTTATCGACAAACCGAACAATTACCTGATGGTCAAATAAAGATCAATAAATATGAGACGGGCTTGCCAATAAGGTAGGCGGTTTCTTATCATATAATTTCTCATTTATTAATTTGTTTTAACATATTACGCGTACTTGATTTAAATCCCGTATTTTTGATATAGAGTTGATATTGAAGCGGCTTTGGCTTATGCTCTGGGCTGTGTAACTGGTGAACACACTTTTCTAAAAAAAAATATATTAAATACATTTTGATTTATTGTTTATAATTTTTTTTTTTTAAAAAAAAAAAAAAAAAAACTTGTTTCTTGAAGGTGTCATGTTATTGATTATGGAACAAAAGAACGATTATGTTCGATTTCACGCGTGGCAGGTGAGAAATCAATTTATGAGAATAATTTTAATCGAAAATTTAATCAATTCAATTTTAGGTAATAATACGATTTGATTGAATAAACTAATTTTTTCTTTAATAAAGTCTTCCTTATTATTCGCAACCATTTTTGTGAGTAATAATTAATTCCTATGTTAAAAATTATACTTATTTTATCAAATATTTACTAATATATTTTATATCTACATTTTTTTTTTTAGTTTTTCCATTTCATTATACTTTTTATTAATTCGGTCCTAAGTTGGATCTTTGCGATCTTGGAGATCGGTTTAATTATTTTTCTTTGGTTTGTTAAAGATTATTCTTTTAACTCTAATTTGAGAAATCAGCTTGTCAAGGATACTGAAATTATTATTTAATATTAGTTATCGAGCCTATGTGGATGGAATTACTTTGGAACGATTTGAAATGCCGATTTTTGGTACTTTAGCCAGTACTTGGGTGGATAGCGAATAAAATATTTAAAGAGAGATAATTTTGTGATTCCATTAGTTTTATTTATGACAAAAAGTTTGAAGGAAATTAATGTGTGCGTTTTACATTACCCATCTAAATTTGAAATACTGATAGCTTTATTTTTTTCTTGTATTATATTCGCAAGGGACAACCTTTCTCATGCATTCATTTATCATGGTTCTTTATTATTATTTTAAATATATTTTGAGCAGATTTTCATTCTATTAAATAACCCTACTGATGTATTTATACTAACATTACTTTGGACTTTGATATTCCTCTCAAAAATAAAATAAAATCATCATTAAAAGAATTCGTTTATCAATTTAATGCTTTATCGGAACTACAACCAAATATTATTATGATTCCCTTATTTTCGTATTAATCACGTCCACCAGCTAGCATCATAATCTTTGCATCATAATATCGTCGCGTTAAAATCTCTCTCAATGAGTCCTCTAATTCATCCTTAGAACCGACGATGTTGATATGGTTATTTACCGCGTAATGAAACATTAATTGTTGTCGAATCTCTAAAAGGTCCATGAATTGAACTTTTGATGGGTCAACTTTCATTCCTTCTTTATGTTCAACACAATAGATTTCATTTCGTTTGATAAGATATTTGCGACATGATGAAGGAATAGAAAGTTGAGATAGGTCAGTGCTTTTTGTCTCGGAAACAAATTTACGAATTCCATGCATGGAAATAGAAGTGTCATTTAGAAGCAACACAATTAATTTTTCGAAAAGAACGAGAATAACCACGGAATCATCATTTATCTTTTGATTTCCAGTGATATTCAAGAAGGTCAAATTACTTTTTAGTGCTACGAGATGAGACAAAGCCTCGTTCCCAATTCCGGTACCTTCAATGACCAACTCATCCAAATTTCTAAGTCCTCGAAAGTTGTTAAAATAAGAATCTTCAATCGGCATGAAACTCAACTTCAAAGATTTTAAATATTGGAAGCCATTTGGCAAGCAAAACGCGGACACCAATCGATTAGTATTTTGTTTAATGTGAAATTCCAAGCTATCATCAATAACGAATGTCTTATTGATGGTATCATGCCTAAGCTTTTCGAAGGTATAGGTCAGGTCTAGTGATGTGACCGCCTCCACGGCACGGAATTCTTTGAGAACTTCATATTTCAAGAATCCTATATCAAAAAATATTTAAACGAAATGTGCTAAATTTTAGGTGGAAGACAAATTTAATTTCAATCTTAACAAAATACCTGATTCTTCAAGCCATCCATAGATCTGATTAAGCGCGGGTAATTCACCATCAACCAGGGTTTCCTCCTTGAATCTATTGACGACGTCTTGATTTGTAATTCTGACCAAGCGTCTCAATAATTTGTTGATAGACGTGTAGTCACCATCGATGTAAATCGGCCCATATAAGTCGTTCTTGTAACTTAGAGCCATATCTTTAAAGAACGATACATTTATTATTAAATAAAAATAAATATGCACGAATGTTAATGGTAGATACTCACATTTAGTTCTTTCAAGTGCCTTTTCCGATTCCTGACAAGATTTCTGACTTTCTTCTCTAAGTTTCTGATATTCATCTATTTGTCTCCTCAATTCGGCTTCAAGTTGTTCGATTCTTTGCTTATATGCATCGACGTTAATAATATGACCGGTTTCATTCTTGATCCTTTTCATCGGTGAAATTATCTCATCATCATAAGCGGTTTGAGACCCGTTAACGGACACAGTTTTGGAACTCTTTGTAATACTTGACATTTTGTTACTCTCGAATTGTTGTGCAAAATAAGGTGTCAAATTCTCCTTGCTACCAAAAGGCTTACCAGGAGTATTACGAAGTATACTCGAAGTTCTAGCTTGTGAAGGGCTGCGGATACGCGCATTTGACAAAATATTAAAAGGCGTTAAATCCATATCGTCACCGAGGGTACGTTTGTTACTTTTACGCGAAGTTGGAACATTATTTTCATCATGGTAAGAATTGATAAGAACCTTGGAAGGTGTGTTTGAAATATTCATCTTTAAACAATATTACTCAAAAACCCGAAAGGTATTTTTATTATTCGTGTCGGGTTAGTCGGGTTAGTCCAACTTATTTTTTTTTTTTTAATTTAAATAAACCAAACATCATGACGTAAGTCGTGACGATTATATTTCTGCCAAAAAAGGAAATGACGCGGGTTGACACGTTCTGTATAAATATTAATTTAAAGCAATGGATTAAAAGGTAAGGATTTGCAATATTCCCCGGGATCCTTTCCAAGATCCCTTCCAGGGCCTTACCGTAAATAGAAAAGGGCATGAGTGACGAGGATGGGGGTTCCCTTCGCGCATCATCATAATTTACAAGAATCTGCGTTTTCGAATTCCTTAAAGAAAAATCATTCATGATAAAGCATAATCAAATTTTTTTATTTTATATTATTTTTTCCTTTTGGTCATTTTTTTTTTTTTTTTTTTTTCCCGCCATATTTTTAATCATTCTATTAATGGTTGAAAAAAATATCAAACATGAACATGCAGATTAATAAGAACCAGGTATGGATAAAATTCGGCAGCTGTAGAATATTTATAGTTATTTACAGGAAAATCTCGTGATTCAATTTCAGAGGGCATAACTCTTTATTACCTTATCTTTATTCAACACATATCTTTCCCCGCGGCTCTTATCGGAAATAGCAATAAATAATCTCTAATAAAAAAAAAAATGCTTTTAACTTGAATTATCTGTCGAAGATTATCAATGTTCTATTACATCTTTCTAACGATTGGGAATGCTTATACAAGTTTACCATCCTGATTCCTGTGTGTTACATAACTTTTTTTTTTGATGATCACGGGTGAACAATGTTCTTTGTGCTGCGGTGCCGTTATAAAGTGAAATAAAGTGAAGTAACCACAAGGGAAATATCACCAGACACGAACATAATAATATAAATGTTTTTTTAATTATGGTAAGATGGTAAAGAATGTACATCATCATAGAAAAAAAAAAATGTTGCTAAGCCAACATTATTATGTGATAGTAATCCCCAAATTTGAGATGACGTTTGGTAGTTTGTTTAACCTCGATAATATCGCATAGGTATTACATAAATAATTTCTTGTGATTAATGGTCAGCCTCCCTTTTCGTAAGCTGTTTGGGTGTTTAAAAAAAAGTCCCAAAAAAAAAATTATACAAACTACCAAAAAAGCCCAAGACGCAAAACCAAAACCGCTTGTAGAGCCACTCAAAGATCACCCGCCTTTTAACTATTCAGCAAAAAATATAAAAACTAATAAATCACTTGCTTCGACTTTCCGTTAATTGTAAGCGGTCTTAATCTTTTACCTTTTAAATAATGTTACTATTAGTTTCTATTAGTATCATTTCTTCAAACCTTTCAGGCTTAAATAATGGAAATCTTTTTTTTTTCTATAAAGTCCTAGCAAATCACCAAATTTACCTAGCACATAACAGGACGTCATACTAAACTTAACGGCAATTATGATGGCGACCTCACATGCTTTTCCGCCTGAAGAAAGTTTTCCCCATCCAACACCAACAAATTTTCAATCACAACAAAATACAAAACAGGCCGTAATTTATAACAAGTCGGGTACAAAGTGTATGAATATCGTGAAGGAGCCTGGAATGTCTCTGTCTCCGACTTCACCGTCTACAAGGGAACAGAATGATTCCTCTCCCTCTCATAACCTTCAGAATAATAACGGTACAGCTAAAAAGAAAAAGAAAAGGAAGAGTAAGAGAAAACCTCCTGCAGACCATGTAGAAGAACCTGATATTCAAGCGAATGGCTCACATAATAATCATATAAAGGCTCATCAAGTAAATTATAACAGTGACGATGGTGAAGATGTAGTGGACGTTGAATTAGAAGATGAAGATGATTACGATTCTGAAGATGGGTATGATCCGGAAGACCCCGAAATACCTTTTCCACGAAAGGATTCTATCGCAAATCTTGATGGTGATAATCATCATGTTACTAATACTGCTTCAAAGAAAAAGAAAAAGAAGAAGAAGAATAAGAATGGTCTCAATATTAATCAAATTTCAGATATTCACCACAATCATCCTCATCATAATCATAGTCACAAATCCCGTAAAGACGGTATCTGGAATACCAATAATAACGAAGAGCGACAACGAATAAGAGAATTCTGGTTACAGTTGGGTGAAGAGGAAAGGAGAAGTTTAGTAAAAGTTGAAAAGGAAGCTGTGCTAAAAAAAATGAAAGAACAACAAAAGCATTCATGTTCTTGTTCTGTATGTGGCAAAAAGAGGTTAGCACCTTTGAACTTTTATTTTATTATTATTATTATTATTTTTTTTTTTTTTTTTTTTTTTTTTTTACTCTTCAAGTATTATTAGTATCAATTATTGCCTCTCGATTTGATAATTGCTTATAAAAAAAAGCATTCAACGATGTAAAAGATTCAAAATTCAGTGGAAATTTTGATCTACTACGTGGTAATTACATTGAGCATGTTACAACTTGGCATTAGCTTTCTATTCGGTTAATATAAATATTATATATATATATATATTATGTATATATGTATATATTATTTATTCATTTAATAAACAAATAGATAAATAATATATTTGTACCTATTATTAAAAACTATTATAAAAATATTTGGAATGTAATATAGGACCGCTATTGAAGAAGAGCTGGAAACACTTTATGATGCTTATTATGAAGAACTAGAATCTTATGCGAACCAACAACAGCAATTCGGCCCCTCAAATATCGAATATCGAAATGATTCTGCAGAGTATGATGATGAGGACGATGATGAGGAATACGATGAGGATGATGAGGATGATGATGAAGACTATGAAGGCAGTGAGAATGGAAGCGATACACGGAGGGAAATCTTTAATTTTGGTAATAGTTTGACCGTAAAAGGTGCGTGATGATTACCTAGCGGGGTTAGAAAGCCTTCTTGATGATCGAAAGTTATTTAGTTTATAAAATATCAATCTCAATAGAATATAAATACTAATGTGTATATACTGACTCAGGAGGCATTTTGACCGTAGCAGACGATCTTTTAAAAAACGACGGTAAAAAGTTTCTTGAAATGATGGAACGACTTGCTGAACGAAGGATGCAACGAGAGGATGAAGCAGCAATGGAACAACGTGATTATGAAGAATATGATGATGACGATGATGAGGAATACGAAGATGATGCTGAAGAAGTACAATGAATTTTACTCTCAATTATTACTATTTACGAATAGAAGTACATCTATACTAATAAAATTTTTGTTATAGGATAATCAGACAGATGAGCAACGTATGGAAGAAGGTCGACGGATGTTCCAGATATTTGCGGCACGAATGTTTGAGCAGCGGGTGTTAAATGCATATCGAGAGAAAGTTCGTAGTAAAAATTTTAAAAGGACTTTTCAAAATACATCTTTTAATTATTATAAAAATTTCAATTTACACAGGTTGCTCAAGAACGGCAACAAAAGTTATTAGAGGAATTAGAGGAAGAAAATCGACTAAAAGAAGAACGTGAGCTAAAAAAGTTAAAAGAGAAGGAGAAAAAGAAGGCTAAAAATAGGTTTGAAATAAAAGTATTTGTCCCCCCTAGTAAAATTTATACTTATCTAATTTTTTTTTGCTTTAGGGCATTGAAACTACAAAAAGAGGAGGAACGTGCAAGAAAAGAGGCCGAAAGACTAGCTGAAGAGAAAGCATTACGCGCAGAACGTGATAGAAAATTAGAGGAAGAACGTAAAAAGCGTGAGGAAGAACGCCTAAAAAAGGAGGCAGATAGGAGGGCAAGGGAAGAAGAACGACAAAGGAAAGAAGAGGAGAAAAGGCGAAAAGCAAAAGAAGATAAAGAGAGAGAAGAGCGCAGGAAAAAAGAACAAGAAGCTAAAGAGCGTAAGGAAAGAGAAAGAGAAGAAAAAGAGCGTAAGGAGCGGGAAGAAAAGTTTCGAAAAGAAAAAGAAGAACGTAGACAGCGTGAAGAACGAGAGCGTAAACAACGTGAATTAAAGGAGAAAGAGCGCAAAGAAAAAGAGGAACAAGAACGCAAGGATCGTGAAAAGAAAGAGCGTGAAGCAAAGGAGCGAGAGCGAAAAGAGAAGGAGGAACAGGAGCGTAAAGATCGTGAAGAAAAAGACCGAAAAGAGAGAGAAGAAAAACAAAGGGCTGCTAGTGTTCCTCCAGTAAGGCAGCAGCATCATGAACGAAAGCGGACAATTACACCAATTGGTCAACCTTCTGCTCAGACACCGCCACCACCAACGATAAGTACAACGGTAGTACATAATAAATCTAGTTCAATGCCAAATGGAATTAATTGGATGAATTATTCATCACATGAACACCATCCACCTCTTCCCCCACAACATCCTATAAACCCACAGCATGTTATAAATTCTCATTTACCACCTCA